TATCTCTCACCATGCACGAAAGTAAAATTGAAATGGATTAAAGATCTAAATATAAAAACAGAAACCCTGAACTGGCTGGAACAGAGGTTAGGTTGAACTCTTGAAGACATTGGGGTAGGAAAAGACTTTATGAACAAAACCTCAGTTGCCCGTGAACTAGCACAAACAATGAACAACTGGGATCTCTTCTTACTAAAAAGCTTCTGCACATAAGAGAAACCATCAACAGTGTGAAGAGACAACCCACAATGTGGGAAAATATTTTCACCAGCAGTCCCTCAGACAAAGATCTACTATCTCAAATCTATAAAGAACTTTAAAAAAGTCAGATCCCCCAAATTTAAAGACCCAATCCAAAAATGGGCATCTGAAATGAACCGACATTTCTCACACAAAGAAGTAGAAATGGCAAATAAACATATGAAAAAATGTTCAACATCAGTGATCATTCATTCAAGAGATGCAGATGAAAACAGTGCTAAGATTCCACCTCACCCAGAAAGAATGGCTGCTATCATGAAATCAACCAATAACACATGCTGCCAGGGCTCTGGGGAAAGAGGAACCCTGCTCCACTGTTGGTGGGAGTGTAGACTGGTGCAACCACTGTGGAAATCAATATAGAGATACTTCAAAGAAATAGGATTGGAAGTTCCATTTGACCTAGCTATCCCCCTGCTCGGTATCTTCCACAAAGAATTAAAAGAAATCTTACCACACTGATGTATGTGCACCCATGTTTGTAGCAGCTAAGTTTGTGATAGCTAAAACTTGGAAGCAACCCAATTGCCCATCAACTAGATAAAGACAATGTTGGGTTTTTTATAAAACTGAGTACTACTCAGCCATAAAGAAGAAGAAACTGGAGACATTTATAGCTAAATGGATGCACATTGAGGTGATACTCTTAAGTGAAATTAATAGCACACACGTGTAAGTACTGAATAGTTTCTCTAGTGTGAGAAACTGAAAGTATAAACAAGGATTAAAAAGTATAATAGATAATGTGAAATAGGAAGAAAAGGGGCAAAGGGGAAGGGAAAATGGGAGGGGTAGGGGAAAAGAAAGAAGGGAATGGAATTAATGTGAGAAAAAGAAAAAATGGAAACAGTCTTTGTAAACAGGGAGGGATGGAGGGGTTGATGGGAGGGCAGGGGAATGGGGAAAAATTAAGATCCAAGAGAGATTATGTAGAGCTGCAAATTTCCAATGATGAATATTATATTGTATACCTAAAATGTACCCATAAATTTATTTTTTTAATTAATAAATAAAGAAATGCTTGAAGAAAATATTAAAAAGCCAAAAGAAAAAAAAAGAGGAACAGGGCTATGACAGCGAGAAAGAAAGAGTAGAAGAAGCCAGCAAAAGCAGATTCCCCTAAGACAAAGAAGTGCTCTCTGGAGAAGGCAGCTGGTGAAGCGCTGAGAGAGTCCAAGGTGAACGGGGACGATCACCACGAGGAGGACATGGACATGAGCGACTGAGCGCTGCTGCATGGACTCTTGTGTACGTGCGTCAGTGTCATTCCTTTGTGTTCGCTCCTCAAACCTAGACGTGTTCAGCTCTGAGTTACAGGTTATAAATCTCCGATAGCGACATTAGTTATTGACATCCGAAAGAAGGCTTGTAGAAACAGTAGCTGGGAAGAATTCTTGTAGAAAGAGTAGCTAGGAAGCAGCTCTCGCCCTGGTGAGGTGTGAAGGAGTAACCCAGCAGTCTCGCCACCCTGTCCTGGGCTGCTGCATCACAAAGCGACAGCTGCATGTGTCCACAGCAGGCATGGGGCGTCAGTGCTGTGTGAGCTCCTCTCTTAAGTACATAACTTATAGTCTCCAGAAATTGGTTCATTGCCATAATAGAGCCATATAGGGAATCCACTGATTGCATGTTCTTGTGTCAAGAATATCCTAAATGTCATTAAAATCCTCCACAGGATGGATCTGCTTATGGTCTTGTTTGTTGACATGACAAAATAACATTCTTAGAGTTACATCTGGAAATGAGCATTTGAAATAGATAATCCTTTAAGCCTTGTGGCTCAATTTTTGTGGCTTTTGTTTAACTTTGAAAGGTTATATATGCACTAACATTTTTGATGGCTAATTACAGAAACAAGATTTCACATAAAATTGTGTTTAGTGGTGAGCAAATAGCAACATATTTTGAAGTAGAGTTGTATATGTTTTCATAGGTGTTTGGGATTTTTTTTTCCTGAAATAATTTATTCCACTTCCACATCATTAAAAGCTGTCCCCCTCTCCCGAGTTGACCCTTAAAAGGCATTTAATCTTTTGTCCTGATTTTCAATTTTCCACTTTTATTGTTTTAAGCTCAGTGTTGGTAAAAAAAAAAAAGGGAATAGTGCATTTTAAATTGATCATCATACTTTTAAAACAAATCTACTTGATAATGTACTTTTATTTTATATCAAGTTGTATAAAACCAATAAATTTGTGTTGTTATTTCTGCAGTGGTAACCTTCAGGCACACAGTGATTATCTGCAAAGTAGTGAGCAACTGTTTTCTTAGTTACAGGAGTTTCAAGCTTTACTTTTGTGCAGTAAAAACAAAAGTAGGCTACAGTCTTGTCATGTTGATGTACAATTTCTGAAATTGTTTTACAAGACTTTGATAATATAACCCTTAAACTTATGTTCCAGTTCCTGTAAAACCATATTTGTATTTATTTACACTGTTGAATGTATGACATTTACCTCATTTTACCCTTTCTGCCCACATTTGAATACAGTCACAGAATGAAGTCCCCCCGCTTAGTGCTAGCTGCTGTCAGAATTGTCACAGCCATTCCTATCCAAAAGCCTTTCTCAGTGGGAAGGTTATTTGGATAACACAGTGAACTTTTAGGGGAAACAGATGGTCCCACCTACAACAAGTAAATTTGTATTTTCAGTGAAATGTAACTATTTGCCTTTTCCAAAATAGTGTAGAAGATGTCAATAACCTGTATCTACTGTACCATACTAAATAGTATATTTATTCACTTAGGGAATTAGTGTTTGGGCAGCTGGGCTTAAGGGGAACAGCCTTGGAATTGTAGTTTTTATTCAAGTTTTGAGTATCACTTGGTTTTTTAAAAACCTGTTCTAAAATTGAAATGCCATATAGAAAAGCAGTGTTTTTAAAGTTTGTAGTTAACTTTTTAAAGATTTTATCAAAGGAATTTTGTCTATAGCAAGTGTAAGAAGTTTTAGTAATGGGCTGAATATTCACTGCATTTTTTAAAACAAAGTTGTATGCAAATAACATTTGTTTAAACTTCCAAGAACTTTTTTTTAGTAAAGTTTAACCATGTAACATGACCATTTTATGAGTCAAGAGTGTGTAAAATAGTGGCACTGTGTAGGGAGAATCCAGTCAGAGCTGTTCCCTGGCCTACGTCCCCAAGGGCATGATTTTCACTGCTTGGAGGGCATGAGCACAGGGGCCTCTGCCCTGAAGGAAGGCGCACGGAAAATTCTGTATCCCAGCACTAGAACACAAGTCTTTAACACATGAGAATCAGGTGAAACCAAGTGAACGATGCCTCCAGAGTTCTGTTCTGTATCTGGTAGTAAAGCAATTTTAAAATAAAAGTGGTTTTGTTAGAAAAAAAAAAAGTTGGAAAAACTAACATAAAACATTGTACAAACTCATTTCTGGAATAACTCCTAGGCCAAAGTGACTGTTCATACCTTATCTTTCCACTTATCAAAACTTCTGGAACATTCAGATGACCCAGGTTGTAGCAGTTTGAGGATCTCACTATCAGATTTTCTCACTTTGATGTCATTTTCATTTCCTACATTCCGAAGTGTCCTATAGCGGCTGAAGGTGACAGAATTATCATGGTTATTTCACTCTTCCCACTCTTTGCAAACACAGAAAACTGATAGATTTTATTTTCTAAGAAAAATAGTAAAGCTCTTCAAAAATTCTTCATGATAGAAGAGGTATCCAATCTTTCTTCCCTCCTATTCTTCAGAAGAGGAAGGCAGAACCAGGAAGTTAAATCACCTCTCCATGGGTACACAGCCAGAGTATGTCAAGCTGAAAGAAAATCCTGGACTGGCTAATTCCCAGCACACACCCTCACCCTCACCCTCACTACCTCACTCTCCCTTCTGGACCCTTGTGATATACACTCAGTTTTACTTACTTCTCCCAAGTCCAAAAGAAGGGATGACTCAGAAGGTTGTTCAGATAGTCTCTCATATTTTCCCCAGGGCAGAGCAAGTGATGAATGAGGTCCTTAGTTTCCTCATCTGGAGAAAGTTGAAGCACTTGTTCAATACTTTGAGCCTTCAGCCTCTCAAAAGGAATCTCTCCTTTCTTTACTACATACAGGGCCAGCCGTCCAAGGGCCTGTACAAGGGCCACAAAACAGCCAAAGGTGATTATGAGTTTCCTTTCTTCTTGGGTAACCTTGGAAGATGTAACACAAGATGCATGCACATGAAGGATGGGAGGAGTCCACAAGCATGGTAGGGAAAAAAGGCACAGGCCTGTGCATATAGAGCTCTTCAAAGCAATATGTGGTCCACACAGTTCATGTTTATGAAAAGCAAATGGTAACCCTAGCCCAGAGTTGTCAGGGCAGACTACTTAGAGGAAGAGGGATTTGAATTGGGCCTTGAAGATACTGATAGAATATAGATGAGTTTGGGAAAGTGAGAATGTTTTAAACAAGAAAGATGCTGAGACTACCCAGAAATGGGAGTTTGGGTCTAGGGCTGTGGCAGGCAGCAGATATAACACAGTCCATTGAGGATGGGAGAGACAGAGTGCTAGCCAAGGAGTTAGACCATGGCAAAGAGGGAAAACAGAAGGAGGTCATCACAGGTGCCACCTACCTTGGGGGGGATGGACCTGAAATCTAGAGCCAAACCAAGGAGTCAGGAGAGAACTGCCAACAGTTTTGGGTCCAAAACAGCTCAGGAGCTTTGGGCTGCAGGGCCAGGCTCCCAATCCTCTCTGGAGCAACAGTTATTTCAAGATCCTAACCTTTTTGGGTCAGCTTCATGTGTTTTGAGCTGGAGATGACCCCACTCACCCTTCTCAAAAGTTCTCTGAAACTCTCAATATTTGGCCTTCTTCAGACCTTAGCACAAGAGTTTGAACAGAATGGGGAAAGAAATCTCATCTACTTTATCCTCAGGCAGAAAAAAAAGTCACCTGGAGGAATGTTGGTGATACTTGGAAAAACCTCCTGAAAGTGTGTGGAGCATACTCAATTCATTACCTATTTGCTAGTAGAGGAAGGAGGAGATCCAAAGAGACACAGAAAGTGGTCACAGTGATAGCTAGGTCCACATCTTGCCAGTGTGCCACCTTCTTTTCTGTATGCTGAAAGCCAAACAGATGCTCTCTGTGTGGAAACTTCCATGAGAAAGTTAGTAGATGCCTTTTTTGGCATAGGACTGGGGACAGTGATGAGGTAGGGTCAAAGCTTTAAAGTTCTTTCTTTCCCAGTTAAGATAGAAACATCATGTATTTGCCTAAAGGAACAAGGGTAATGAACAAATAAGGAAGCAGAAAGAAGAAAAAATAAACAGGGCTGTAGACATTACCTCTAGATCACTCTTGATTTCCTGGGGATCTCCAGTCCACTTGATGCTCTGATCAAAATCTGCCAAGAGAACAGCTTTCCTGGAATCTAAGGGATAGTTTAAAGAGGGGCATGGGAAATGTTCATTAGCCATTTTGTGACAGTCAATAGGTATGTAACATTGCAATCCATAACTTCTGATGAGGGTAAATAATAATGTCATTGACTTCTCAAAAACTGGCATATGCACAGTTTCATTTGGTCTATGAGGTATCTACCAAGATGAGGATATACATTTTATTTTTTCCAGACCAGAGAGTTGGACAGGATTAGGATAAATCAGCTCCTCATTCATTCAGTTCCTGAGGCACACAGCACAGATTTGCAAAGGAGCTCCTTAAGCTTACATCCTATACAGTAGTTAACCAATAAGGTTCTAAATTCAAGACTATATTGTCATAGCATTCCACTAAATGGAGCTGATGAGCCACAACCCACTGTGACATGCTGGATTGTTATCATGCATCAATGATGTGCTTGTAATGATGTCCTTGTCCCATTCACATTCTTTTTCCATTGAAACAAGCCACACAGCTCACAGAAAGAGGGATGAGTGGATGTGAAAGACCAGAACCTAGCTGAATGAGTGCAAATCTTCAAAAGATGTTCCCCTGTTTTTGGCTCAAAGGATTCTGAGAAGAAGAAAGGCTGAAAGATTAAAACTATACCTATATCTCTCACAATGCACTAAACTAAAATTGAAATGGATTAAACATCTAAATATTAAAATAGAAACTCTGAACCAGCTGAAACAGAGGTTAAGTAGAATTCTTGAAGACATTGGTGTAGGAAAAGATTTTATGAACAAAACCTCAGTTGCCCATGAACTAGCACAAACAATCAACAAGTGGGATCTCTTCTTATTAAAAAGCTTCTACACAGCAAGAGAGACCACGAGCAGTGTGAAGAGACAACCGACAATGTGGGAAAAAATCTTCACCTGCTCTTCCTCAGACAAAGGCCTACTATCTCGAATCTATAAAGATCTGAAAAAGATCAGACCTCCCAAATTTAAAGACCCAATCTGAAAATGGGCATCTGAAATGAACAGACATTTCTCACACAAAGAAGTAGAAATAGCAAATAAATACATGAAAAAATGTTCAACATCACTGGTCATTCGAGAGATGCAAATGAAAACAATGCTGAGATTCCACTTCACTCCAGAAAGAATGGCTGCTATCATGAAATCAACCAATAACAAATGCTTGCAGGGATGTGGGGAAAGAGAAACCCTGCTCCACTGCTGGTGGGAGTGCAGACTGGTGCAACCACTGTGGAAATTAGTATGAAGATACCTCAAAGTACTAGGACTGGAAGGTCCATTTGACCCAGCTATTCCCCTGCTGGGTCTCTTCCCCAAATAATTAAAAGAATCATACCACAGTGATATATGTGCACCTATGTTCATAGCAGCACAATTTGTAATAGCTAAAACTTGGAAAAAGCCCAAATGCCCATCAGCTGGAGACTGGATCAAGAAAATGTGGGGGTTTATAAAATGGAGTACTACTCAGCCATAAAAAATGAGAAAGTATAGACATTTATAGTTAAATGGATGCACATTGAGGCCATACTCTTAAGTGAAACAATTAGGGCACACATGTATAAATACCAAATAGTTTCTCTAGTGTGAAAAACTGAAACTGTAAATAAGGACTAAAGGTATAATAGATAATGTGAAATAGGAAGAAAAGAGGCAAGGGGGAAGTGGGAAGGGTAGGGGAAAAGAAAGAAGGGGAAAGAATTAATATGAGAATATGGAAAAATGGAAACAATCTTTGTAAATAGGGAGGGATGGAGGGGTTGAAGGAAGGGCTGGGCAAGAGTGAAAAATAAGAACCAAGAGAGATAATGTAAAGGTGGAAATTTCCAATGATGAATGTCATTATACTGTATACCTAAAATGTACCAATGATTAGAATGAATAGTCGATAATGCAAAATAGGAAGAAAAGGTCCAAAGGGGTAGGGGTAGTGGGAGGGGCAGGGGGAAGGAAAGAAGGGAAAGGAAAAATGATGAGAAATGGAAAAAATGGAAACAAAGTCTTTGTAAATAGGGAAGGGTTGAGGGGATAAAGGAAGGGCTAGGGATGGGGAAATAATAAGAACCAAGATGCATCATGTAAAGGTACAATTTTCCAATGAGAAATGTAAATGTGTTGTGTACCTAAAATGTACCAATAAAAGAATTTAAGTAATGAAAAAAAAAGAAGAAAGGCTGGATAACTCCAATACTATCATGGCCAGTGCAGTTGAGTGCATCTGGAATCCCACTGATTCTAAACATAAACATTAAAGCTGTGTAAGAGCCCAGAGGCTAACAAAAATTAATCCATTAAATTATTTGGCAAGTGTTTTTTGGGAGACAGAACTATGAGACTGCCCCCAGCACTGAGGAGGTGAGCCTTGAGGGCCACCATACCATTGGCCCCAGCACTGAGAAGCAGAGCCACCCCAAGTACTGAGGAGGTGAGCCAAGCAGGCACTAGCAGCATACCCAGACCTTGATATGAGAAGACCCTTAAGCAAGTATCAAAAACAGACTTCCAAATCACCTAAAGCAACTGCAAAGAGAAAAGAGAAGGAACAATCTGATACTCAAGCACCTGGACTACCCTAACTGGCAACAAAAGAGGATCTGGGAAAAATGAAATCAGAAATAATTTCTCAGATAATAGCAGAGATTGTGCCCATAGTGCAAGACATGACTAATAAATCTAGACAGGACACAGATTAAAAAATAGAGGAGCTGAGGAACATGATGAAATCCCAACATAGGAAACAGATGGAATCCCAACATTGGAAACAAATGGAATCCATAAAACAGATGCAAACAGATTTCCAAGAGATGAAAATCACCATTGAAAGTATGTGCACCAGAATGGGTCAATGTGAGGACAGAATTTTTGATATAGAAGAAAAGATTGCAATTAGTGACCAGGAAAAGAAAAATTGCTTTAAAATAGTAAGGGATCACGAGAAATCAATCCAGCAGCTGCTAGACAATGCAAAAAGAATGCCATAAAACTGATCAGAGTCAGGGAAGAAACAGGAGACAGTGCAGATGACATAAAAACACTGTTCACAGAAGTGATGACAGAAAATTTCCCAAGGAGAGGAAAGGAATTTGACATATATATAGGTGAAGAATAGACTAGCCTTGATTAAAAAAAAAATCTATACATAGGCATCTAATAGTTAGGACTCCAGAAAACCAAAAGAAGAACAAAATTCTACAAGCAGAGAAAAAACAAATCACATACAAAGGAAAGCCTGTCAGAACCACACCAGACTTCTCAATGCAAACCCACAAGGCAAGAAGAGCTTGGAGAGATGTATTCCAAGCCCCAAAGGGAAACACACTCCAACCTAGAATGATGAAACCTGCAAAACTATCTTTCAAAATTGATGGAGAAATAAGATATTTTCATGACAAAGAGCACCTTAGGAAATTCATGAATACCAAACCAGCATTCCAAAAAATTTTAGACAATATCCTAGGAAAAGCCAATGAGGAACACAACCCCAGGAAGCCCAGCAGGATGAATCCATCAGGCAAAACAAGAAATTAAAGCAAAGGGGGAGAATCAAACAAAAAGAAAAAGTCATAACAGGGATAGGTCAATGCAAATCGGTTATAACCATCAATGTTAATGGTCTCAATTCACTAATCAAAAGAAATAGACTGGCAAATGGGTCAAGAAGCAAGATACAACAATATGCTGCATACAAGAAACACACTTAATTCAAAAAGAAACTCATAGACTGAAAGTTAAAGGGTGGGAAACAGTACTCCATGTGATGGGAACCAAAAAAAAAGCAGGAGTAGCTATCCTTTTTGCAAATCAAGTAGATTTCAAACCAAAACAGATTAAGAGAGACAAAGAAGGACACCACATGCTTGTAAAGGGAACAATCCAACAGGAAGAGATGACAATCATAAATATCTATGTACCAAACACTAGTGCACCCAACTATATAACACAAATACTAAGGGACATGAAAAATCAAATAAGCACTAATACAAGAGCAGTGGGGGACCTCAGTACTCCATGGTCACAAATAGATAGATCAACAAGACAAAAACTAAACAATGAAATACTAGAACTCAATCAAACTCTTGAACAAATGAACTTAACAGATGTTCCACCCCACAAAATCAGAATGCACATTCTTTCCAGCTACACATGGGTCTTTCTCTAAAATAAACCACATACTCACTGACAGAACATGTTTAAGTAACTGCAAATGAATTGAAGTTATCCCCTCTATATTGTTAGACCATCGTGTGATGAAATTGGAGATCAATAGGAAAAGAAACTGGAAGAATTTCATAAACACATGGAAAATGCACAATACACTTCTCAATAACCAGTGGGTCACAGAGGAAATTAAAGAAGAAATCAAACAGTTCCTACAATTAAATGACAATGACCATGCAAAATATCAGAATCTATGGGACACAAAGAAGGCAGTCTTATGAGGTAAATTTGTAGCAGTGAATACTCATATTAGGAAAACAGAGTGACCCCAATTAAACTGATGCTGAACCTCAAGCTTCTAGAAAAAGAAGAGCAGGACAAACCCAAAACTCATACAAGGGAGGAAATTGTAAAGATCAGAGCAGAAATCAATGCAATGGAGACTAAGAGAATGATAAAAAAAAAATCAGTGAAGCCAAGAGTTGGTTCTTCAAAAGAATAAATAAAATTGACAAACCCTTAGTCGACCTTAGCAGAAAGAGAAAAGAAAAGGCCCAAATCCATGCAATTGAGAATGAAAAGAATGAAATTACAACGGACCCAGCAGAAATGCAGAGGATCGTCAATACCTACTTTGAGAACCTATACACCAATAAGATGGAAAACTCAGAAGAAATGGACAGATTTCTAGATATGAATGAATTACCAATGTTGAATGAAGACTTAAAAATTCTAAATGGCAAATATCAATCAATGACATTGAAAATGTAATTTAAAACTTACCAACTCAGAAAAGCCTGGGTCCTGATGGCTTCACTGCTGAATCCTACAAGACATTTAGAGG